TGATCCCGAACACGTGATGTTGGCACTAACAAGATTACGAGACTTCATGATTGAAAGAGGAATAACGGAGGTCTCAATGCCGGTGTATGACCCAAACAGGGGCAAATTGAGCTCAAGGGAATTGTACGCTATCCTACACGTAGTCTTCGCGGAAACGGAGATGATAGTGTATCTTCACAAGGAATACTACTGGAGCATCGCCTGAGTTGGGCACACGGGGGTCTCGAGTTGGGCGTGAGGGAGGAGTCTCGAGTTAGGTACTGGGGTGCGGCACAAGTAAAGGGATCTTAAGACGCGATTGGCATGACAATTGAATTTTAGAAGGATTAACGGTGCTAAAACATAAAATGAATCTGCATGCTTTTAAAGAAATTCCAAATGAATTGTTTTAAGTGGAATGAAAATGATAAGATTTTAACCATACTGGTAAAAGGGGGGTTTCTAGGTTAGGAACATGACATATTAAGTCTTAATATGGTTTCTGTTTTCAGATCAAGTTTGATAAACAAAGTTGAAAACCCAACTATACTCAAGCGAGAGACAGAAAGGGAAATCTTGATTGAACTCGAGATAATCGACACCTGCTGCAAGCATTTGCAAGGAGACATTTCTAGAGAATTCTTAAGTTGGTCAATTCTTGAGTTGGTAAGGTAGTTCTTGAGCTGGTTAACACTTGAATACATCCCGAAGTCACAGAAAATGGCAGACAGGTTCTGGAAATCCATTCCCGCGGCCCTGAAGAAGACTACTCTCGATGAGCTGTACAGACGCCTGAGGGACCTGGATTATACCCAGATAGACGAGAGAATGGCGGTAATGTTGAATGCCATCCTCCAGTTGGAAGAACAGGGTGAGTGCAGGGAGTCTGCGACGGAGGCTGTCTTGATGGTCGGCTACACCACCGAGGGAATATCAAATCAGGAACAGACCAGATGGTTGTCTTGGAATGTGGATGGAGGAGTAAGGGGCTTTGACTTGGCAAGGAATCCTGGCCTGAGTAACAATACCGAATATGGCGCAGGAGAATTCCCACTACCAACTAGGCCATCAGCGAGATCGACAGGCCAGAGCTCGAGTAAGGTGCCATTGATGACGCGAGTGCATTAGACGACTGAGGCATATCCGGATCTTGGTGTTCTAAAGAAAGAGCTCGAGAAGTAGAGAGGGAAATAGAGGCTTCCACCTGTTCGACATCGGAGGAAGACTTCAAGCCCCAGAAGATAAACGTGAAGAGAGGTCCAACGGACGGAGGACATGGGAAGTGGATGTCGGCGAGGAATGGGTCTCGAAGGGACACCAGGCCACGGGGAAGCAAGTGACGAGTGATCCACTGGAGAGGAGCAAGACGAGACTTACCTCCCGGCCATGGTGGGCGGCCCTCGAGACATTGAAGGAAATGGAAGGCTGCTTGAAGAAGTTGGACAGTGGAGTAGCTCGCAAACGACGCAATTGGGCCACCCAGCAAAAGGCTGAGGTTAACAAGATAGAATTGGCGAACCAGTTGAAGAGGTCCTGGCAGAACTTATTGAAGGATCATTTTGAAGAGGCAATGAGGACACCCTCATCAGCACCGCCATTGATGGCGAATCGCTTCGTTAGAACCGCAGGACAATTGATGTTCACCTGGAGTCTGGTGGGAATAGAGTTGGAGACATTGACCTCGTATGACAGGTTGAAGTTGGGATGCAAGAAGCTAGAAGTGTATCAAGCACTGATGCAGCACGTGGCCAGGGATAATTCAGGCTTGAGCCTGGCTAGGAGGAAGGATGCCACATGTTTCTTGAGATGGATAATGTCAATGATGTCTGATAGCACCATCTTGGCGTGCTACCAAAGCGGAAGTAAAACCGTGGAAAAGAGAGTCTCATCGATCATATTAAACGTATATCAGAGTACTGGAATAGAGAAGGAAGATGGTTCCAGACTATCCCTATAGAACCACAGAAAGCTGGACGAGGTACGGAGGTTTTACAATAAGAAGTTCGAAGAAGAACATGATGTTCACCGTAACCTGGCCTCGCCAGAGCAGTACTCGAGACTCAGTGAGAAGGGGGGATACCAATACGTGTCTGGAGTGATGGGGATAGCCTACAACCCCTTCTTAGACTCAAAAACTGGAGGCGCTCACAGGAACTACGAGGTAGCGGAGCTGCTGAAGTTTTGGACAGAAAAAATAGTGGAAATAGACGCGGTGGAGAAAGAGAGGCCGAGCCTGGGCCTGATTCTTGAGAAAACACCGGAGGTGGTGAGCATACCGCGCTCGAACAAGAGAGTTGAAGTGAACATGGGTGATGGCAATGGCTTGTTGATCACGAACTTGGGAGTGGTATGGAAGTTACTAAGACCCTCCTGGTGCCCACATCCCCACGCGAGTCTGATCGAGGAGACCACCGAGCGGGTGAGGTTAGCACCAACGGAAGATGAAGATTTGGCAAAGTTGAGCGTGGTGCACAAACTGATCTTACCTCAGATGAAGGAGTCAGGCGAAAAGACGAACAATCTCGAGTCAGCAAAGAAGATAGAGCCGGGTAGCTGTCTAGATTCTACGTGTGGGAGTGGAGAGCACACCTGCGATGGACGATCATGTGTCAGGATACTGTCCTTTCAAAAAGAAGATCTGGTTACTTGGTTTGAAGACATCACGGAAAGGGAGAAAAGTGAAGTACAAATAGTGGCGGAGTGTTACGCGAGAACTACGGTGAACATAGCGACAGCTCTTGGATTCTTCTCGAGAATGTGTAGTCTGCAGTCACTGGAGAGGCTAGAGTCTGAACACCATTTAGTGACTGCGTTGAGCGTGGAATCATGGCCTGGGGTGTTGCAGGTGACTCAAAAACATATCCGGAGCTGGAAGGTTGGCATCGAGGCGGAAATGGCGTTTCCCATGAGCGAAGCTTATGGCCTGCCATTGAACGCAAAATCCCTGATAGGGTCAATGATGGCCAATTTGTGCGGAAGCCACTACCCACTGCACATGGCGATGGTGGAAGCATCCAGCCAGAGAGTATTGGTGGACAAGGCCTTCTCAGTGCCCAAGTGCGTGAGGTTGGCTCGGGTATCGCATCACTCGCACAAGTTGTTGAGGAAAATCAGAGGGACAGTACCGAAAGAGTTGAGAGATGACTTGAGTGAAATCTGGGGAGAAGAGCTTTTGAAATTGGAAAGTGAGAAAACAAGCGATCACGAGAGACAAAACGTGACCGGAAAACCTGTGGGGGGTGCTCCAAACGTGGGAGAGAACGACACGATGCATGAGAAAATGATGGAGCTTGAGCCCCTCTTGGAAGCCTCGGGGGAGCGTAACCTCAGGAGCATTGAGATCACCCATGGAGAATGCCCATGCCACTGTTTGGCACAAACGGTGTGGTATCCAGATCACAAGAACCTCTGCCTGGTGTGGGATATGGAAGAAATTCGGTCGATCGGATTACCGGATCACCGGCAGAAGGTGACGCTCTTAGTAGTAAGTACGATGCTGGCTCTGAGATGGATAGAAGAGAATATAACGAAGTATCGGGAAGCGAAGACGCCAACGGCTGAGTCAATAGATGCGATAGACTACAGCAGGAGACTCGAGTTGTTTGAGACTGCATGCAAAGTATTCGCCATACCAATGGAAGTCAGACGCGTATGGAGCCGCTTGAGGTACTTTCCATGGTTTCGAGCGACACTGACGTCTTGGTTATACATGACAACGAAAGATCACATGAGAAAGCATCAAAAGGAGTATCGACAGTTCCAGGCCGAGATTGGGCCGGAAGCTTTCAAGAGACCCCTGTTGACCCATCGAAATGTGATCACGACAGGATGGAAAAGAGTGTGTAAAATGTCTAGAGACAATACCAAAGCGAGGGAATCGATACTAAGGAGGACTTGGCGAAGAACGTGAGCCTGAGCCTGCACAACTCCTTTTGTTTGAACCGGGAATCTAGGGTGAAGGCACTACCCAACCAGGCAAAGAGGTTGCAGGAGCAAAGGGAATGGATGCGATCCTATGAACAGCTGAAGGCTTGGGAGGAGATCGTGATTAGCTCCGATGATGAAGAAGAACTGTTGAGACAGTTTGCCGTATCCAGTACTTCAGGGGACGGCACCTCCAAGGCGAAGAGTGCAAAATGAGCGGATGGTTCGAAGAGATCTTGAGTCTTGAGAGGGAAAGGGGGGCTTGAGTGTGAATCCGGATGAAACCTGGGTTCACGAAAAAGAAATTTTAACGAATCAGATATTGTTATTAATATGCTATATTTACTATATAAATCCAAATGCTGCATGACAATTTCCTGATTGAATGGGACAAAAGAAATTTTAAATAATTGGCTTGAAAAGCGAGAATTCAAGGGTGCAGGTGTGTGCAGATTTTGATTGCTGTTTAGCGATAGTGTGAAAATTTTACATGGCCGTGAATTTTGGGGTATAGATAATCTTAAGTCTGCTGCAAACTTCTGTAAATGACCACTGGCACTGTACCTTGAGCAACACTCGGTTTTCTGGGACTCACTGGCAGACGACAGCACGCGATGAGGACATCGATCTTGAGTCCGGGGAGTATGTGCCAGTCGGTCTTATTTGGAAGTTTGACCTTGAGAAAAACAAGAACGCTTAATTTTGGAGTGAAATTTGATTTTTCAAAAATTCGAATGGAGCCTGTCATGCACGATTCTCTCGCGATAACTGAAAACCGAAAAAGAGAAATCAGAACGATCGAGTAACAATCGCGGGAAAGTTGCCAGATAAAGCAGTAGGAAATTGCCATTCGCAATTTCCGTCACAATAAAACTAGAGTAGAGCTGTCCTATCTGAAACAGAAGGAAGCGTATTCCCGAGAATTGGACAATTATTGCTCGACTGGATTATCATTCAAACTGGACTAGAGTGAACCTTCGATGGAAAGGTGGACAGCTTGAGTGTCCCAATGGTTCACGAGAAACTATACTCTAGAGTTCAGACTTGTTCCTGTTATTGAAACTAACAAACATTAAACTCATTTAGTTACATTATTTAATTGTTGTGATAAACTTATTAAATAGTTTCATATGTTATGACTGATCCTGAGGGAACACAGCCTGCCCCCCAGCGGTTCAACTCCACATCTGGCCTTGTGACCGCTGACTACTACCCAACCGTGGATGATCTACTTCGGGCTGACGGCACTGAGACGTTCGGAAAGCTGACTGGAAAGCTGAAAAAAGACAGCATACTTTGCCTGTTGCGCGAAGCTGTTACGCAACTTCGGGAAGCTAAGTATAATCAAAATAGTTGTACTCATGCTGTTGATGCAGGGGAAGATGCCGATAAACGTCTTGATGTTATTGAAAAGAAACTTGATGTTGTTGTTGAGAAGCTTGAAAAGACCGATCCCCAATTACCCCGAATCAAAGTTTCATCTGTTTCGTCACCGGAGCTACTTGAGAAGTTGGACGAGATCAGGATTCAAGGCATACCTGAAAGCTCTGCCAATTCTGCTAACAAGCGCTTTGAGGATGATGGGAAATCAGTGACTGATATACTTGAATATCTCGAGGCAAATTCTTCTACGGGGATTCAGGAGGTCTTCCGCGTGGGAAAACCCAATACGGATCCAAATAAGCCGAGACCTGTTATAATCAAATTCAATTCTGTTTGGTCTACAAGGAAGATTCTAAGCAAGAGTTACAATCTGAAAGAGTATTGTGATGCTGTCTATATTTCCAAGTCCCTAACCAAAGCTGGCCAGGAACTTGAAAGGCAGCTCCTGAAACGACGTCGTGAACTAATCGAAGGCGGCTATGATCGCAAGCAGATCAAAATTCGTGACCTGAAGCTTTATCTTGATGACGAGTTGCAACAACTTGAGCCAAAGCAAAATTGAGAAAAAGTTATCGATTGTCTTTTTCAATTGCCAAAGTATGCTCTCTTTGGAAAGAAGATTGAAGTTTGTTAATATGTTATACAAATGGAATTGTGATATTATTTGCTTGACTGAAACCTGGTTGACCAGCACGGTTGAATCATCGTTTGTTTTCCCGTATGCTGATTACACTGTTCTTGCTCGCTCTGATCGTAAAAATGGTGAACACGGAGGTAGCCTTATTGCTATAAAGGGCTCAATTCCTTCTACGTTCCATATTCAACCGGTTGTTTGCGAATCCCCTGTTGGCTGTGCAGTTTTATTGGTTTCAGCTTCGCTCCTTATTTGCATTGCTGTCATCTATAATCCTCCCGCTTCTTCGCATTTCAGATTATCCGTTATAAGCATTAGTGAGTTTTTGGAAACTGCACATATTGCATTCAAATCTGAATGTGCTAAGCGCGGATCTCTGCACGACAGCTACTTCCTTGTCTCGGGTGATATGAATCTTCCCAATATTGACTGGTACTCTTGCTACAGCTCCTCGAGCTATGACGCAAACTTGCTTTCTTTGTTTCATGATTATGATCTAGAGCAGCACATCTTTGAACCAACACATTGCAGTGGGAGCATTCTCGATATCCTATTGCTTAACCGTGCTAATCCTGGTGATATTGAAGTTTTGGAGTCCGATTTCTCTGATCACAAGCCTGTCAGCATTACGTTTCCTACTAAATCAGACGATGAAATTCGACCAGTAGCCTACTCCAAATCCTCCTTTGACTATACTACGTTCTCCGTGATGCTTAATTCTGGTTATAATGCTCTGCAGTATGCCCATTTGTATGATGACTTCAGCGTGGTGATTTTCTCAATTCTAAATGAGAGTGTGCGTGTTTCTTCCTACCGTAAAAGACTCAAACGTCAAAATCTGCCGTTTTATTATTCTTCACATACGGTCCACCTTTTAAATAAACTTGGCACCCAGAAAAAGCGCAATCCCATGCACGATCATAGCACTCTTGTAGACAGTCTAAATGTGTCAATGGAACTTGACAAGGTCTGCTTCCTGCAATCCTATGAGACTATGGACGTCAATTCTTGCTTCAAGATTTTGAAAAGCTTGAGCAATTCTTCTCCCTACCCAGGCACAATGCATTTTGCAAAAAGATCTGCTTCCACTACTATTGAGAAGGCAAATCTTTTTAATGACTTTTTTGCGTCTGTCTTCAAGACCTCCGGGGAGATTCAGATTACCAGCCTTAGTACTTCTTCTACCATTGAGTTGTGCAAGGTGTCTGTTAGTCATGAAAAAGTCTTACATTTTCTTCAGTCGGCAAATGACTCTGCTTCTGTCTGCTGTGACGATGTCCCGCCGGCTTTCATAAAACATTGTGCATTTCAACTGAGTCCTCTAGTGGCTGCTCTCTATGAAGACATTTTAAAGCGAAAAAAGTGGCCCGATGTTTGGAAAACTGCGTACATAACTCCTCTTTACAAGAAGGATAGCCACAGTGATGTGTCCAATTATCGTCCCATCAGCCTGCTACCGAAACTTTCCCTCGGTCTGGAGCGTATCTTATTTGATTACATTTACACTAGCATTAGGCCGAAAATTACGAAATACCAATCCGGCTTTATGTCAAGGCGTTCAACTGTCACGCAACTGTTAAACTTCTGTGATGAGCTTTATAGGAATCACGAACTTGGTATTTCGTCTTTTGTTTTTTATGTGGATATCAAAAAGGCGTTTGACTCGGTTCCTCACCATAAATTGCTCAAAAAACTTGCGGATTTCGGTTTGGATGTTAGCTTTCTCCAATTACTTAAAAGTTATCTTTCTGGACGCTTTCAACGTGTGCGAATCAATGGTGTGCTCTCTGATTTTGTGAGCATTATGAGTGGTGTCCCGCAAGGTAGTATTCTGGGGCCGTTATTGTTCTTGTTATTTGTGAACGATCTTCCTGATTATCTCTTATCCAAGCCATCCCTCTTTGCTGATGATCTGAAATGCTGCAGTACCTCTGTTCCCGTACTTCAACGCGATCTAGATGCTGTTATCAATTGGTGTGGCGAAAATTCTCTCGATTTACATCCTGACAAATGTAAAGTCCTGAAGTTTTTTAACCACAGCTCTGAAAACCCAGATCTCTATATTGGTGATCACAAAATCGATGAATCTTTAGACGTCAAAGATCTTGGGATCATTTTCAGTTCTGATTTATCGTGGTCGCACCATGTTTCTGAAAAGTTATTCAAGTGCAACAAAGTGTACTTTATGTTAAAGCGAAATGTTCCGAGCAGTACTCCGAGACAAACGAAGGTTCGGCTCTACAAAGCATGTATTCTATCTGTGCTTACTTATGGTTCTTCTATCTGGATACCTAACAAGACCGACTTATCCAAGCTCGAAGCTTTCAACAGAAGATGTGTGAGATGGATCGGTCTGTCAGGTGATTATAAAACGTCACTGATAAAGTTAGGAATCTATCCTCTGCCATATCATATTGAAATCTCAAATCTTCTGTTTTTCCATAAACTGTTTCAGGACAAGTACGATTTAAACCCCTTCGATTTTGTTGATATAAATGACCCATCTGTATCATTACGGAGTGTTGATATATACTCTTTCAAATTAAAGAAGCGAAAATACGAGAAGACAAAGTCCTTTTATTTTGACCGTATTCCTAGACTATTGAATTTCATGAAGCTTGATGTCCGTCTATCATTCCCCCGGTACAAGCGTGAAGTTATGAAGTTCTACGATACGAAGCTACGTCAAACATTCGAAGAAAACATTCCGTGTACTTGGTATGGAAAGTGCTGCTGTACCTTCTGCCGGTCATAGTTTATTTTATATATTTATATTTTTTTTTTCGTTTTATGTTTGCATTTCATTATTTGTGATTGTAAACTCCCCACGGGGTAAATTAAGCCTTCCTCTCTCTCTCTCTCTCTCTCTTAATTCTCGAGTTGTTTACTAACTTAATTACTCCCAGTTCTTGAGCGTGCTACGATGTGAGTACCCAATTTAAATTTCTAGAGTGTGTTTTATGATTGTTATGTTGAGGTAAGGCGAGTTTTAGGTTGATCCATCTGAAATGGATCAAAGTTCCACTGTCTAATAAAAAGTAACTTAACGGATTGTTCCGACCCGGTTTTTAACGGCGTTCATGTATTTTGGGTATCTAGAGACCTAAGTATGGGGACGTTCTTATTTCTAGAGTGGGGGGGATATTTTGGTAGTAGCCTTTAAGCTGTAACGGGTCGTAGTCTCATGTCACAAGCGAACCGAATTGGCTCCGACTGATTTGAGGTAGAAAAACACAAGAGATAGTGTCCCTGACTCTTGAGCCAATGGTTATAGGGCCTATTTTTCTTAAGCCTCATGTGTGACTACAGTAGACGATTGTTACATTTATTGGAATGGGGGTATCCAATTATGGAATCTTCCTTTCTCCTGGTGGTTCGTGTGTTAATTCAAAAGGTTAATTCAAACGTTTTCGCACATTTTGTGCATCATCAGGATTAATTTTTTTAAACAATATTTGCAAAACGATCAAAGATATGAAAAACTGACAAACATGTCTAAAAATGCTCTAAGTTTTTTTTTACCAATCAAAGGGTTAAATTCTACTTTCCGTCGTATGTGCTATTCGGGCGAAAGTTACCCAGATTTGGTTTTTGCTCTTCGCATTTAATATCGAAATTTATCTTTGCCAGCGTCTTCTGTTCTCAGAATATAGAACTTATCCCCCTCAACCTTGTATCAGCTTTGCTTCAAGTAGTGCGATTTTCCGAAGCGGTTTCACTTAGAATTTTTAGAATTTTGTTCGTTGAATTGTTTTGATATCAAGCACTTTATCACCCCTGTTGTCCTTCAGACGCGTTGTTGAATATTGAACTATTTTTAAAGGTGTTCTGGGTTTCATTGGTATAATTTTGATATACCATCTTGAAATCTTTAACTTTTCTTCAGATTTATGCCATGACGTCTCTTAATGAGGTAAGATCTAAAGCTTTTTATTGAAAATTCGGCAGTGTGCTGGCGTACAAAAATTGTAGTTAGAAGCGGCAGTTGTATTTCATAAATGTTTCACGTTTCGAAAGTTTTGTTTTAAAACAAGTATTATTCAATCCATTGATCCTAAATTAATTTTCTTGAGTGTGTTTTATTTTGTTTTGTTGAGTTAGGGAGAGTTTTAGGTTGATCCATCTGAAATGGATCAAAGGTCCACTGTCTAATAAAAAGTAACTATACACAAGGTTCCGACCCTGTTTTTAACGGCGTTCGCGTATCTCAGGTATTTTGAGACCTGAGTATGGGGGCGTTCTTATTTTCTAGAGTGGGGGGTATTTTGGTAGTGGCCTTTAAGCTGTAACGCGGTTTTTAGTCTCATGTCGCAAGTGAACCGAATTGGCTCCGACCGCTTGGAGGTAGAAAAACACAAGAGATAGTGTCCCTGACTCTTGAGCCAATGGTTATAGGGCCTATTTTTCTTTGACCTCATATGTGACTTCAGTAGGCGACTGTTACAATAATTACACTTGCTATTAGCAAGCGTTGTCAAATCGGAATATATACTTTTTGTTCGGGCTAACAACTTGCGTAACAGACAACTTTAATCTTGGTTCATAATGAATTCAATTTTTTAAGCGTCTCCGGCATATTAAGTTTGGAAAACGAATACGCCTTGAACGGCAAAGGTCCTTTGTTCGAATCTGAACATGACCTGTTTTTTTAAGAGGGAATAAATATTCCGTTTCAAAAAAAATGTCGGATGATTATTTGTCTGCCTGTGTTGGCGGCATAGTTGCCGCATCTTAGTTTTTTTTCCATGTACGCACCGCACCTTTCATTGTAGTTGCTTTTAATGTTTTCATTTACTCCTGCAATTTGTAATTCTACTAGCTTTGACTTCGTATAAATATTTTTTTCGCTTAAAAATTTTTTTTCGGCATAAATGATTTCGGCTTGTTTTATTGGCTCTTCAACCTAATTTTGGGTCGTTCGAGGAAGCCGTAATTTGTATGCTTTCCTTCGGATCGCACAGAAAAAGGTCGAATATCTCAGAATAGAATGTAACGTTCAAAGTCTTTCTTGTCAACAGTTTTATTTTCGCTCAAGAATTGTTTTTGAACTTTCAGTAAAAGCCGTCGAATGTGTTTCTGCACGTGTTTTTTGCATAAAGAATATCATTCCAGACAACATTTTGAAGTTTTTTAGTTGTAGTTTCTTCGAAAGTTTTTCCGTTTTCTTTGGATTTAGTGGCTATCTTTTCCTGTCTGCTAGCTTGCAATGCTTTTTTTTGTGGTATCGCAAGTGATGCGAAGCTCCGCTTTGCCTCTGTGTAAAAGATTTTTTTTTTGTCATAAATAAACCGTTACGGTTCTCATTTACGCCATAGAAAAGAAATTGTTTTTTCTTTATTCTAAAAAATTGCGAAAAGCTATATTCCTTTTTGAGCTTCTGGCGAATTCTAGTTTACTGATCAAGCGATGTCTTAAAACCAATTTCCTACGATTGTATATCCGGTTAAATTCTAATAATCAGTTTAATCCGTCGTAAGTCAAAATATCCAAAGTGAATTTATAGTAGTTGATGAGAAAGCTGCAGAAACGTGAAAACATTTTCGTTCAATTATAATTGCAACTTTTATGTCCCATGACTAGGTTTGTTCTTTTGCGTTGTAAACTTTTTGCAAAATTGGGGCGACCCAACTTTCAGACTTGATTATTCAGGCGAATCAATCATACGTTTGCTTTTTCATCGCAGTAATAGTTTGCATGTTTTGTTTTTAGCTGAAACTTGACCTCGAAGAATACGAAAAGCTGCTTTCCTCATCCACTAGACCTAGAGTCAAGACGCATTTGGAGAAAGATATTTCCATTATTAAAACTACTATTCAATCTATATCAGATGCTGCTACCCCGTTAGCTGCCAAAGAAAATGCAAACACAAACAGTGGTGGCTCAGCCAAACATTTCAAACCAATTAAAAGTTTTGGTGAGTTGATTAATTTTTGGACCCGAAATCTGGTCTTAAGTTTTGAAACCCAAATTGTAGTGGTCTATTCTTTCAGGTTATGCTTACAATTATTAAGGAGAAGATTAAAAATAAAAGGAAGGTGATAATGTTGCGCTTTTTAAGGATATGACGGTTCATCATTGAAGACTGCTAAAATTTATGTCAACTTAAAAGGAATCGGAACTCACGACGCATCCAAGCTGTTTTCAAATTTTGACACCAGGTTAGTGATGAAGTTGGTTGCATTGTTCATTTATTACACTAAGGATTGAGAGTTGCTATCTAACTCGTACACAATTTTTTTATTTGGCGCAGAAATGAAGCAGGCTGGTTAAATATGTATAGTTGCTGACTCGTTAAATCGCTTTCTCTACAATTAATTTCACTGCAATATTCGACAGTTCATGTGTTTTCTAGGTGTACCATTTTTATAGCCTTTTTTGTTCAACCTAAATCATCTAAATCTGTGGAAAGTAATTAACTAATTTGTATTTATAATTAACTAATCGGCATAGCTGAAATTTTGTTTGGCGTAATTTAGCTCATTTAGATATCATTTTAACAGTATTGTAAAGTGTTTTTAAGAGTTATGAACTTGGTGAGTACTTTTATATAGGTCTTAATGATTTTTTTGTTTTCAGGAAAAAGTCTTAAAATTTTTTCACGCTCAGCTTTGGTTTTTCGCGCGTTTGACTTGTGATTTCTTTTTAAGTTCAGTGCCATTCTATTGTTAAAAAGCAAACTCCACTATCGATGCGCAAAATTGTAAAGGTCACAAAAAACTTGATCGACTTCTTATTCCGAAAATGGAAATTAGTTATCAGATTTTCCAGCGAAATAAAAGTTTTACTTATTGATCCAGTTTTCTCAAATTGGGTTAATTTAAAAAAAGTGTCCATCATAAATTGTTTTACAAATTCAAAGAGTTTTAAGACCATCTATTTTCTTCTTCGAAATTCAAAAGTTGAAAATTTTTGAAAAAAACAAGTCGGGTTTTTTTTTCAGTTTTCTTGCATTCATTACTCTTCTCTAACTGTCAGTTGGCTATGTCTTTTTTCGGATCCATGACATGCTCCCTATCCTAATCTACCCTATACTATTCTATCCTACATACCAATCTACCGTATAACATTTTACCCTATAAGTAAAGCAATTGAAACTTACCCCCTTCCTCTTGAAGAATCCGAAACATTAAATTTCCGAACAAATCAAAGAACCATTAATTGTGATCAAAGAATAATTAACGCATGTGAACAAAATATCAAAGCAACGTAAAATTTGCTTGTTCAAATGGAAATGAGTTCAAAGCATGAACGAACAGAAATTTTAATCCAATTTTGCTATAGAAATGCGTTGCGGCTATTTCTTAAACAAGCAAAAGTCATATCACATCAAGTCGACATAGCTTAGCGGATAATGCATGTGTTTTTAAATCAAAATTTCGAAAGATTAAATCGCCAAGAAGTCAAGTTTTGAACGAAATTCGAAAATTACTGAAGGTTTGACTAGTTGATCACAAAAGGAGGGGTAGACCCCCCAGTTCCAGGCCAAGGCGGTACTGGGGGGCAGGGCGAGGGAACCTCAAAAAGTGTATGTTTCTAAGAAATTCAAAGTTTGATAAAATGAACAGAATTAGGAATGACTTAATTGCGCGAGAGAATACAAGTATGTTAAAATAGAATCTTTGTTCAAATTTTTGCAATTGTTTTTCACGTTCTCATTCAATTCCCTTTACTTCTTGCGACTGGGGTTCCTTCTTACCCCCATTGCTTCCATTATATTGGTTTGCGGCATCCAATTTGATTAGTTCCAGAAAGGTGTGAATGGATGGGTGGTTGCCTTTAAAGAGAGTAACAGCGTCAAGATTCCAGCTTTACAGCGTTTGTTGTCCTTATTAATCCAGCAGCTGCTTCTTCGGAATGATTCCAAGGGTTTACTGGAAAGAGAGGTTCGCGAGAATTCCGATGCTTTTGCCTTTGATGTAGGTGCGTTGGCAGTATGAGGCTACCTCATCAAGTTTCTCAGTGATGCTGTCGTCGAGACCAAATTTGCCAGAGACTTTTTCGATCTCCTCAATAACCAAGTCAAAAGCAGCATTGACCATTTCAACTGGTACAAAACTTAGAGCTGAAGTTAAGCGCAACGACAATTTGAGTTCGTGATTAGTTTCATACAGTCGTTTTAGGCCCACTTCGTTTATTTTCCGGTTGAACGCTTGACATGAATGAAAATAACAACCCTTGAGCAACTCTCCGGTATGATGACTAGCCAAAGCATTTAGTGCTGCATGTTCAAAATCGAGGAGAATGCGGTGAGGCTAGGTGTTTTAGGCGATGGCTGATAATCCCTTCAGTAGCTTTTTGTATGTGTGCTTTCTTTTGTTTGGCAACAGTGCATAAATGCAGGGGGGGGGATTAAAACCCAGCGAGTTGAATCTGGATGGTGTAAAAATGATAAAATTGATTAGGGCAAACTTTGAAGATTTTTTCTGTCACAAATAAATCGTTATTGTCCTTATGATGAAAAAAAATTGATGAGCCAGCTAAAATTGTGTCATTGTATTCTAAAAAATTGCGAAAAGCTATATTCCTTTTTGAGCTTCTGGCGACTTCTAGTTTACTGATCAAGCGATGTCTTAAAACCAATTTGCTACGATTGTATATCCGGTTAAATTCTAATAATCAGTTTAATCCGTCGTAAGTCAAAATATCCAAAGTGAATTTATAGTAGTTGATGAGAAAGCTGCAGAAACGTGAAAACTTTTTCGTTCAATTATAAGTTGCAACTTTTATGTCCCATTATTAAGTTTGTTCATTTGCGTTGTAAGCTCGCAAAATTGGTGCGACCCAACTTTCAGAGTTGATTTCTCAGGCGAATCAATCATAAGTTTGCTTTTTCATCGCAGTAATAGTTTGCATGTTAATGTTTTTAGCTGAAACTTGACCTCGAAGAATACGAAAAGCTGAGTTCGTGATTAGTTTCATACAGCCGTTTTAGGCCCACTTCGTTTATTTTCCGGTTGAACACTTAACGGAAATGAAATTAGCAGCCTTTAAGCAACGCGCCGGTATGATTACTAGCGAAAGCATTTAGTGCTGCACGTTCAAAATCAAGGAAATGCGGTGAGGCTTGGTGTTTTCGGTGATGGCTGATAATCCCTTCAGTATCGTTTTATAAGTGTGCTCTTTTGTTCGGCAAAACAGTGCTTAAATGCAGGGGGATAAAATCCAGTGAGTTGAATGTGGATGGTGTTAAGTTGATAAAATTAAACTTTGAATGTTCCACCACACAGCCAAACATCTCGATGTAATGTCAAACTATGGATGTTGTCACGATCTCCAAATATCAACACCGTTTCTGGATCTTCAATGCCGCTATTGAAGACGCAAAAATCCTCGTGTTGCTTTGGTACCTCAAAATGTCTGGACTATTTGAGGCATTCGGGGTCTCTCATTTGCCTTCTCTCGATTGAGGGCCCGAATAATCGCTGACCGGCAAGAAAGAGCTAATTGAACGGATTTTTCTTCGGACACAGACTGCAGACCGTTTGCTATAATGATTCTATTGACTGGTACTTGCTGAATTTCTGTGTCCTGTTTCATTTTCTGCACGAGAAGCCTTGCATCTGAACGACCAGGATGTATTTCGTGAGTGTGTTCATTTCTACAGGAAGTAAGATCGTAATCTCGGGTTATTGCTGCCCTTTTGCATTTATGAGACTCCCACCTTGAACACTTCCAGTGAATGTTTCCATTCTTTGTTTCTTATTTTTTTGGTAAACTCGTGGCCACCGATTAAAGCGTTGTCCGATTCTGTTGGGATAGACCCCAAGAAATTCGACTCATTTTGATATAATTGTTATTCCGAGGAAAATTGGTTTAATGACGTAGTGTTTGTTTCATTTTTGTACGTTATATTGAAAAATGGGGATTAAAACCTGTTAATTGAGACGAGTTTCAGTTTTTGAGGCTTTAATTGCGATTTAGTCTTTAGAAGAATTTCCTAAAGTGAAAGACCCAAATTGAGTCCAAAAATTTGGGCTCAAATGAATTAACACGTGCTGTTATCTTTCCTATTCCAATTAGGACTTTGAAAGATTACATAAATTCTGTGCCTAATTGACACAAGTTAAACTGGTATATAGGCAGATTAGTATAGGGTAGATTAGTATAGGGTAGATTGTTATGTAGGGTATAATGGCATAGGGTAGAATGGTATAGGGGAGTTTGGAATAGGGTAGATTGTCCTGACAGCTTTTTTCTGTGCGATAAGCAAGGTTATTGCAACTGAGTACTAGTAAAAACAATTTATTTCAATTCAATATATTTTTTTCCTTTTTGGACGATTTTTAAGAAAGAAAAATTAATTATCATTACTGTTGCGATAACGCAAGAGTATTTTGAGCGGATTTAAGAGTTTTCCCGTGAAGAAGTGTTTTCACAGGACTACTGAATGTGGCCATCTTGGACGTTACTCATTCTAGTCTATTTTAGGTCGTTGGAGGTTAAGGTGGAAGACTTTAATAATTCGAATTACGTTTTCTCAGTAACTGGACTAGCTGCTGACATCATACCTGAACAATCTAATGTCAAGGTCAGTGCCACTGTCAATTTGAACTAACCTTTTCCCATCTTCATTTTGAGTTTGGAGCTTCGTGGTTATTATGTTCTATTCTAGGCCAAAGGAGATGAAATTATCGTGACCTTGAAAAAGAAGGAGGAAAAGGCATGGAAGCATCTGAGAAAGTGTGACCAAGAAGCCGACGATAAGAAGAAAAAGAAGGAAGCGTTAGTTTTCACCTTATCATATATTTATTTATTAGTGTTAAAACACGATGTGATTAAGTGTCAATGAACATAACGAAGATAAATGACAACCTAAAGGACGCGAAGTTATTTTAAAAAGGTGCGCGGCTTTTCATTTTAGTACTATTGAAATAAGGCAAAATATGAAACCAAATTGCAAGTGGTCAAATTTTTAAAAGCATGATACTAATTTATATTAATTGACAGTAAAACCGTTGGGCGACAATTCATATCAAGACAAGGTCGGTACGGTTTGCTCCGCTGCGCTTACCTTCTTCACAAGTGGTATAGTGCGTGTGAATCAATATGTGCCGCTTAATCAACTGTTAGTCAATAATTGTCACCAGTTAGATTTTCAACTGTTACGAATTTTCGCCCCACGCATCCCAACATGTTACATTATGCTGAAAAAATTACGGAAAAGTTGTGCGGTTGATAAATTTTGTTGATTAAAATGTGTAGCTGAAGTTCCGATTTGATGCATTTGTTTTAGGGAAGAGAAAAAGAGTGAGAGCAATGACCCGAATTCCTCCATTATGAATATGATGAAGAAGATGTACGACGAGGGCGACGATGAGATGAAGAGGACCATTGCGAAGGCGTGGACTGAGTCGCGCGAGAAACAGTCAGCGGGCGGGGGAGGAGGGGACTCCATGGGAATGCCAGGGGGCATGCCTGGAATGCCCGGTCTATGAAGCATCTCAAATTACACCAAAGCTTTTTCCAAATGAACTGAGTTGTCTCAAACTAAACTACTTTCTCTGACATGCATGAGATGACCGAGTTGCATATTTATATGAGTGTAAATTGCAATGATATCTGTTTTCGATTATCGCTGTACAAATTTACACTTCTGGGAGATTGTGAAAGCAATTTTCACTATTGAGCAGATCAAAATAATTCAAAATTTGATGGTTCGATTTTTTTGGAGATGTATAAAAAAGTACAATGAAGATGCTAGCAGAAAAAACGCGTTCTGAATTTTTTTCACTACTCAAATATTATTTTCAAACTTAACGTTTGTTAATTCGCTAATCCGAACATCATATATTGTTCATCTTCTTTTGGATGATAGGATATGATATCAGAGATAATATTTCAACTGTTGGTCTTAATCGAAACTAGACTTTGGAGAACTCTGTTATGAGAAACTGCTAACATTTCAGTGTGAATGAAATCTGATTTGCATGAAGGTCAACTCTGTTCTGTTTTAATTCAACTCAAGCTTAATAGCAAAGTCAACCGAAGATCATTTCGATATTTTCGAATGTTGTTTTGTATTCTATGAAAAAACTTAAATCAGCCGAGTAAAACGAAAAGAAAATTGGAAGAAAACGTTCGTAGAGAACCGTAGTAGCTTGAAATAAGCCAAATGTAGAAAAAGAACCAAGATTTAAGAAACCAGCTGTAATTTCAGTAACTCCAAAGTTAGTGAAGCGTGATATCAAAATTAAATCAGTGTGATGTCAAAGCTGGATATCCAATGCCAACTAAAGCGCATTAGAAACACAGGAGTATCTGTTGACTGTCCAAGATGGTAACTGAAAATATCAAGGAAAAGTTATCTGACATGAAGACCCACAAAATGATCGAGGAAAGCGGTCCTGTAGTTTTGTTGTAG